AAGAGTTGGAGTTTCACTCGGTCGCCCAGACTGGAGTGCAGTGGCCGCTTCCGGCCACCGCAGCCTTGACCTGCTGGGCTCCGGCGATCCTTCCACCTCAGCCTTCCAAGTAGCCGGAATCACAGGCATACGCTACCATGCCCAGCTGATTTTTTTGATTTATTGTAGAGATGAGGTCTCGCTGCCCAGGCGGGTCTCGAACCCGCGGGCTCAGGCAATCCACTCACCTCAGCCTCCCAAAGGCACGGGATTACAGGCTGAGCCACCGAGCCCGGCCATTTAATTCTTATAGGAAATGCGTAAGGTGGGTACCACTTTTGCTGCCCCTTTCCAGGCAAATACATCTGAGTACAGATTGGTTAAGTCATTTATTCAAGGTGACACAGCTGGTGAGCAGAAAAGCTAACATGAGGCAGCAAAGGTGTAATTCTTGTGAGCCATGCACATTTCCTGGAGAGAGGAGGAGTTAAAGGGCATATTTTCTAGTGGGATATAGGCTTGTCTGTGGGATTTAGACTAGACCCTGAAGAGCAATAACGACCAGTATATAAATATAAGTGTTGTGTGTGTGTATGTACACAGTAAGTGCTTCAGGAGGGAGGAAATTTGAAGTTTGGTGGTCTGGCAAAGTTTTTATTTTTTAAATTTTTTTTATTTTTTTTTGAGTTGGAGTCTCACTCTGTCGCCCAGACTGGAGTGCAGTGGCCGCTCCCGGCCACCACAGCCTCGACCTGCTGGGCTCTGGTGATCTTTCCCCCTCAGCCTTTCAAGCAGCTGGAACTACAGGCGCACGCTACCATGCCCGGCTGATTTTTTGATTTATTGTAGAGATGAGGTCTCACTGCCCAGGCGGGTCTGGAACTCGCGGGCTCAGGCAATCCACTCACCTCAGCCTCCCAAAGGTGCGGGATTACAGGCTGAGCCACCGAGCCCGGCTATTTTTTAAATTTTTTAAGTCAGATTCTCACTCAGTCATCCAGGCTGGAGTGTAGTGGCATGCTCATGGCCACCACAGCCTTGATCTGCTGGTCAGGTGATCTTTCCCCCTCAGCCTTCCAAGTAACTGGAACTACAGGCGTGCACCACCACGCCTGGCCAATTTTTTGATGTAGAGATGAGGTCTTGCCAAATTATCCAGGCTGGTCTCTAAACCTGTGGGCTCAGGTGATCCTGTCACCTCGGCCTCCCAAAGTGCTGGGATTATAAATGTGAGCCCCCGTGCCCGACCTGGCAAAGTTTTATGGAAGAAGTCAGACTTGAGCTAATTTTTGATTGAAGGGTAAGACTGGCAATTGGAGAAGAGTTCCGTTGTAGAAATCCCAAGTGCAATAGTGTCAAGGCAGGAATGTGCATGGGATATTAGAGGAACAATGAGTGCACCACCATTCTTGGAGTGACTTTTCAGGAAGATGAATAGTGGGGGTAGGAAGGACCAGATTGTGAAAGGTCTTAGAACTTTTTGACTAAGGAAACTTTCTGTTGTCAGTAGGAAACTTTGTGGATTTCCCAGCAAAAAGTTAATGATATTAATGAGGAATCTTATTTCTGAGTCTGACTTCTACCTTGGTGAGTGAGCTTCTAATTCTAGGAGAGATGATGTTTGTAGAATGATGAGGATTTGCTTAGTACCTTTTGATGAATGTACAGCAAGCATTCTAATTATGTACATTTTTTTGCATACTAAAATGGTAGATTTGCCTAATGATGTTGTCCTTTACAGTATGAAGGAAAAAATTTTTCTTTTGGATTACTCAACTTCTTTTTTATATTACAGAGAGTGGATCTTTCCTACAATTGCTGCTGGAGGGGAACTATGAGGCCATATTCTTAAGTTCAGTGACTCAAAATATTTTTAATTCAGCAATGGCTGAAGAAAGGATTGACAGCTACCTGGAGAAGCAGATAGTAACATTCCTGGATCACTCAGCAGATTTGGATAAAACAGAAAGGTAGAATTTTATTGGAAATTTTCATAGAGAAACAGGCTAGATACATTAATAACACCTTGACAGTGAAGACATTCATTTTAGCAGTTGTTGAGAAACCTGGCTTTACATTTTCTCAGGTTTCATGATATCCTAAGTAATCTGTATAAGAACACTCATCCAGAAATCATCCAGAATGAAACAGTGGTGCAGGGTAAAAGGGTTTCATAAATGGGACTGGCACATGCTTGACCGTTAACTGCTAACCTAGGGAGTTTCCAAATCTTTAGGTCTGCTAGGCTTTAGTCACAAGCAAGACTTTAGATCTTATTTCCTTTTAACTTGAAAATTGATATTTTCAATTTTGTTATTTTGGGATTGCTGAGTGATTTTGTAACTATTTTTATTATGATTTAGACTGTTATCTTTCTAGAGCTCAGAGAACTTAATGTTTTTATTTTTATTTATTTATTTGTTTTTGAGTCCGAGTCTCACTCTGTTGCCCAGGCTGGAGCTCAGTGGCATGCTCATGGCCACCGCAGCCTCCACCTGGCTGGGCCCAGGTGATCCTTCTGTCTCAGGCTTCCAAGTAGCTAGAACTACAGGCATGTGCCACGACGCCCAGCTAATTTTTTTTTTATGATTTATTGTAGAGATGAGGTCTTACCACGTTGCTTAGGCTGGTCTCGAACCCCTGAGCTCAGTCAGTTCTCTTGCCTTCAGCCTGTAATCCCGCGCGTTTGGGAGGCTGAGGTGAGTGGATCGCCTGATCCCATGGGTTCGAGACCCACCTGGGCAACTTGGCGAGACCTCATCTCTACAATAAATCAAAAAATTAGCTGGATGTGGTAGCGCATGCCTGTAATTCTAGCTACTTGGAAGGCTGAGGCAGAAGGATCGCTGGAGCCCAGCAGGTTGAGGCTGGGGTGGCTGGGAGTGGCCACTGCACTCCAGTCTGGGTGACAGAGTGAGACTCCAACTCAAAAAACAAAACAAAACAAAAATTCTCTCACCTCCGCCTCTCAAAGTGTTGGGATGACAGGCATGAGCCACAGCGCCCGGCTTAATGTTTTTATTATAGAGTCCATGGTTCGCAGCAGTGATGCCTAAGCCTGTCAGTGTCTAATACTTTACTGTCACAGATTTGATGCCTCTGTCTTTCTTTTACTATCTGTGGCAACTATGTCAAGTTTAAAATTTTTTTTTTATTTTAAAAATTTAATTGTTTAGACGGGATCTCACTCTTTCATCCAGGCTGGAGTACAGTGGCGTGACCATTGCCCACTGTAGCCTCAAATTCCTGGGCTCAGGCACATGGCACCATGCCAGGCTAAGTTTTAAGATTTTTTTGTAGGGGTCTTGCTCTGTTGCTCAGGATGGTCTTGAACTCCTGGTCTCAAGTGATCTTCCTGCCTTGGCCTCCCAAAGTGTTGGGGTTACAAGTATGAGCCATTGCACCTGGCCTCTCAGTTTTAATTATCTTGCAAATGCATGCAGTTTTATTTTGCCATTATTTCTAGGGTATGGCTTCATTTAGTCCTTTAACAGATAAACTGCTGTGCTAGGTGTTGAGGTTGTGAAGATGAATAAGACATAACTGATCTCCATAAGGAGTTCACAAAAGAATGCTACTGTAGGCTTTTAATTTTTTTCTTAAAATTAATATTATTTCATTTTTGGGGGTTCATGGTAGTTAACATTTCTGCAGTGTCATTTCTGACTTTTGGTCTCTGATATGTGTGCACTCTCTAGCAACTAGCCTTGTGGTACCCATTAAAACACATATATTTACACAATGCATTACTCACTGGTAGATGAGAATCTAGCTTGTCACATAAAGCTGAAAAGAGACATTTCAGGTGACTCATTTTGAGGTATTTGAAAATTAAGCTGTATTCTTTTATTTTTTTGAGTTGGAGTCTCACTGTCGCTCAGGCTGGAGTACAGTGACACACTCATTGTCACCCCAACATCGAACCACTGGGCTCTGGTGATCCTTCCGCCTCAGCCTTCCAAGTAGCTGGAACTACAGGCCTGCGCTACCACACAGGCCTGTTTTGATTTTTGATTGTAGAGATGAGGTCTCGCCAAGTTACCCCAGCTGGTCTCAAACCCATGGGCCCAGGCAGTCCACTCGCCTCGGCCTCCCAAAGTGCTGGATTTACAGGCTGAGCCACTGAGCCCCGACCCAAGCTGTATTCTTGTTTTTTTTTTTTTTTTAATTGGAGTCTCTTTGTTGCCCAGGCTAGAGTGCAGTATTGTGCTCACGGTCACCCCAGTGTCAACCTGCGAACCTTCCACCTCAGCCTTCCAAGAAGCCGGAACTATAGGCGTGTGCTACCAAGCTGTATTCTTAATTTACCTGTAGGAGTTTGGTTTTTTGGTCAGGACAGTTACACTGAGGCATTAAGATCTTGCTGCATACCTGTTTTCCCCACACTTCCTTACCTCTAATGGCAAACTCTTCTGTTTGTTTTTTCTTTCTCTAGTGCTGCCTTTTCTTGGCTCTGCTGTTGGTTGCCCTGAACAGTTTTACATTTTTGCTGCCATAGGCCTGTAGGTTTGATTTTTTTCTCTCTCTAAAAGAATCATCCTGTTAAGGAAAGGCCTAGGGGCCGTGGGAAGTTAAGAAGTGCTGTGAACTCTTTGTCTTCTGAATGAAACCCTGGATTCCCTGGCTGTTATTTGCTGGAGTTGAATCCTCACCCATGTGGGCTTCATCCAGGGGTTGGCAAATCACAGCTGGTAGGCCAGAGTGGCTAAGAATGATTTTTTTTTTTGAGTTGGAGTCTCACTCTGTTGCCCAGACTG